TGGTGCTGGTGTTGGTGTTGGTGCTGGTGCTGGTGCTGGTGTTGGTGTTGGTGTTGGTGTTGGTGTTGTTGCTGCTGCTGCTGCTGCTGCTGCTGCTGCTGCTGCTGCTGCTGCTGCTGTTGCGGTTGCGGTTGCCGTTGCCGTTGCCGCTGCCGCTGCCGCTGCCGCTGTGGCTGTGGCTGTTGCTGTTGCTGTTGCTGTTGCTGTTGCTGTTGCTGTTGTTGTTGTTGTTGCAGTTGGGTTTAAGGGTTTAGGGCGCAGCTGCGGGCGCCCGCCAATGAAACCCACGAAACCCGGCAAGTCTCTCTAGCGAAGAGGGTTTTTATAAAAACCCTCTTCGCGAGACATTTTCTGCGCTCCAAGTCTTCGTTCAGTCTCCATGAGGCACGGCTCTCGCGCCAGAGCCCTAAGCCAACCCAACTCTAAACCCCTGAACCCTGAGCCCGTAAACAACCCTAAACCCTAAACCCTAAACCCTAAAACCCTAAACCCTAAACCCTAATCTACCGAAGGCTTCTTTGTTGCTGAGGACTTTGTCAGGTTGAGGACCAAGCCTCGCCATCCAGGCGGAACCACACAGCCGGCGGTTGGCCTCGCTGCTGCTTTGGGGCTGAGGGTTTTGGGGCTTTGGGCCTTTTGGTTTGAGGAATTTGCGGGACCAACCCTGATACGAAAAGTCCTCACTGCCAAGCCAAGAACAAAAAGCCGAACATACTCGGAGAGCCGTTGACCAATGCCTTAAGCTGCAGTTTGCAAGAGCCAGCTGAGGGTTCTGGGTTTCTGGGCTTGGGGTTTCAGGCTTCAGGGTCTACTGCTTCGGGATCGGGGTTCATACTGGGGTCGAAGCTAGCTAGGTAAAGAGCTTTACAGCTGCAGAAGCTATCAGCTCGCGGGATATGGCCAAAACCTGAAACTGCGTAAACCTGGTGAGAAAGGGTTCAGGGATTAGATTTGAGGTTCAGAGTTCCCTAAACCCCAAACGCTAAACCTGGGCAATAGAGGGAGTAGGGCTTAGGGTTCCCTGAAGTCCAAACCATAAACCCTACCCAGACCCTTAATGACCTACCTTTGAACGGAGCTATTCATCTTTTGAGAAATCATCCGCAAATACCCGAACTGCAGCAAAATCCCGAGAAGGGAGTAGGGTAACTCAGACGCCGGCGCCCGCAGAAGGCCTGCGAACGGAAACGCCCGCCACAAAGGCACAAGTTCAAACTTCTATGCCTTGTAGGAGTTTCTACAGCCATTTCCAGCTTCTGCGGGTTTAGAGCTTCAAGGTTTCGAGGTTCCTTCTTATAATCATGGTACAGCGGGCCCCAAAACCCTATTCTAATTATAAAGGCCCCTAAACCCGAGCTGTGGGCTTCCAGTCTGAGTTTTAGGAATTGGTTTAGGCGGTTTAGGGTTTAGGGAACTTCTACAACCAAAACATCCCACACGCCTTTCTTGTATCCCACCAGTCCAACCAAGAACTTAAACCATAAGCTCTATACGTTAGGGTATAGGGGTCAGGTGTGACTTCGAGCCGTGCAAGTCTTGGGCCATGCTGAGGGTAAGTAACCTAGTAAGTGCTTATCCGTAGTAAAGCCAAACGGCGATAACCACCAAAATGTTGATCATATGGGCTGTCATTTTCAGGGGTGCCCGGCTAGTGAGGAAGTCATTACACCTTACGTGGACTCCCTGTTGTCTGAAACTCTCATACTCTTTACAATCGTTTCAGGGCTTCGGAGAATGGACTCCAACGCCCTAAACCCTGAACCCCTAAACCCTAAACCCTAAACCCCTAAACCCCTAAACCCTAAACCCTAAACTGTAGGGCTGGGGAGGTGAAACACGTCCCAGCCGGTTTAGGGTATCGGGGCAAAGCTCCAGGATATCAGTCTCAGGTTTTAGGGCATCGAGTTTTATAGGTTTTAGGGCTTATAGGGTTTAGGGTTTAGGTTTTCGGGCCATCGAGTTTTAGGTTTTAGGGTTTAGGGTTTAGGTTTTCGGGCATAGGGTTTGGGTTTAGGCTTTCAGGGTGTCACAAGTGATGCGACGCGCCTTTCCCTGGTCCCCCTATGTTAGAAGCCGCTGTGGGTGCATATAATGACTAGGATGATATGTTCCTCAGAGACTGGCCCAAAAGCGTCTGTTAAGGAATATGCATTAACTTATGTCAAGGATCCAGCTGCAACTTCAGCATGCTGATGGACATATGCGCGTTTGGAGTCTGCGGGCATCTGAAGCTTCTATAGTAACGGCCTCAATCGTTAGAATAGGGTGCTAGGCTACATTGCGCTGTAAAGATCTATGGACGATAAGCGGGTGCCGTTACTCGTTCTTCCGATCAAAAGCTTAAGCCCAGTCATGTGTTGTTGGATGCGGCTCGGACGGATGAGGAAGCCAAGAGAGGCCAAACACCTGGCATCGCATTTAGGGTCTAGGGTCAGGGGATCAGTAACATAGATGCCTCTTCCAACTAGAATAAGGCTTCGAAACATAATTTGCTACGTATAATATATACGGTTCCTGAGCAAAAAACCACCCAAAACAGTACTACTCATCATTTTGGCTTCTATATTAGGGCTGTGGATTTTGGGTGTCAGGTTCCTGTAGGGTCTTTTGGGGCGGAAGGTCACGAAATGTTCATGTGTTCAACACCATGCCTGCTTCAAAAAGCCGCAGCATTCGTCCTTACCTGTCAGGCCTTGAAGCCCTAAGCCCTAAACCCACAAAGCCTTTAAGCCCTAAGCAAAAAAGAAAACATACAAGCAAAGCCTTTAAGCCCTAAGCCCGTAAAGCCTCGAAGCCGTAGACCCTCAAAGCTGCGACGCCTTACTGCCAAAAGCCTGGGAGCTCTAGAGCTCGGGATTAGACTAGGCTTCTTTTGAACCTTAGGCCCCAAAACCCGCTTTTTTGTAGGTTCTTACTATAAAACCCTAATATGGGATTTATAGGGACCCTACAAAAAGTAGGTTTTGGGGTTCTTAAGGTAGGCCCCAAACCCTACAGGCCTGCCCGGGTTTAGGGTTATAGGAGCCCGAAACTGTACATACCTATAGTCTCCATTGTAGTTCCTTTTTGGGGATACCTTATAACCTCGTTAATATGTATTTGGTTAAACCAAAAAAAGGAACTACAATGGAGACTATAGGTATACCCTAAACCCCAACCCACATCTTGCGCAATCCTCGTAGGCGTCAGCCAGTCTTTTTCCTGCAGTTCCGACGCCATGCACAAGGTACGTGTTCTGCGAAACCAATCTTCCTCAACAGGGCTTTTTGAGGTCTCACATGTGCTTGTATACGGCTTTTGTAAGGTCTTTATGGGTAAAGGTTTTGTAGGGATTATATATTGGCTTTGTACGGGTTTTGTAGGTTGCTCAAGACTGTTGGTAGGCTTTTTCGTAGTGGGGACTCCAAGGGGAGAGCACCACGAACCATTCAGACTGTAGAGTTTCTGCAAGTTTGCCTTTGACCTCTCCACCCTAGGACGACTTCCTGACGTCTTGAAACCCTAAAGTTCCCAACCCCCTAAGGGGGTTTAGGGTTTAGGGTTTAGGGCCCTAAACCCTAAACCCCGAGCCTTACAAAGGCGAAACCCTCAACCGACAAGAAGACATCTGTAACCCTCAAGCTGAAGCTCGACATCAAAAGGTGTCTAGGGGGTATGGAGAATCGAAACTTAGGGAACTTTAGGGTGATTCAGGACCGTGGAAACGGAGCTGGTTCCCGGAACAGCCGGCAGGACCAAACCGTAAAGTTAAAATCCAAAGCCCAACACCCCCGCTGCCCGCCCCCCTTGCATCCTGAACCTTCTGTTCTATCTCCAAACTGAGGGCCTCGAACCCTTAACCCCAAGCTCCCACAGCCCTTCAGCCCCTCTGCCTGTCGTTCTTGCACTTGTCTCATGCCTCCGTCGGCATGTCATCGAGCTGGTCGAGAGTGTACCACTGGTCTTCGAAGGAGCCGTCATCTCAGGGCTTGGCAGCTTGCGAGTTTGGGAGCTTAGGGTAGGGTTTAGGGTTTAGGGTTTAGGGTTTAGGGTTTAGGGTTTAGGGTAGGGCTTCAGGGTTTTGCTCAGATCCGGGTTTGGGAATTTAGGCAGGGATGTAGGGCCAAACAGGGGCAGAAGCAGTGAGACTAGGCTTCTGGGGTATATTATGGTATAAGCATATGAGGACTACACGTGGACACCGAAAGCAATTGCTCCGAACCCTATACTCGACAGATGCAAACCTCACGTAGGCGAAGTAACTCTAAACCCTAAATCCTAAATCCCAAAGCCTCAACTTCTCAAGCTCAGAGCGTTTGACCCTAGAACTTCAGACCCCGAACCCCAAAACCCGTAAATCCTTACACCCTCAAAGACCCTAGGAGCCACCCCAGACCTACTATAATGTAATGCTACAGTCTACTATAGCATACTATCATACACTTTAGTATACTAGAATCTCACTCTAGTATACTACAATATCACTATAATATAACCCCCGGATGTCTCCATGAAGAGGGCACCTTCGTCGAATCGGAAGATGCGCATGCCGGAGCGATCCGGCTGCGCGCGGAGTCGTTGCTTGATCTTGGAGAAGCCGATATCCTTCACGGTTTAGGGTTTGGGGCTTAGGGTTTAGGGTTTGGGTATTGGGGTTTAGGGTTTAGGGTTTGGGGCTAAAGATTTAGGGTTTAGGGTTTGGGGTTTAGGGTGAAAGCCAGGAGTTCCCAAAGTAGGGTTCTACGTTCAACAACAAGGGAAGGTACAAAACCATCCCAAATCCGCTGGAGCCCATGGGCTCTTCAGTACGAATTTGGGGGGTTTGCGGTTTAGGGTTTAGGGTTTAGGGCTTAGGGTTTAGGGTTTAGGGTTTAGTTCAGGGGCTTAGGTCTTAGGGCTTGGGGAACTTATTTTTTACCAGGAGCCCGGTACACCCCAAACCCCTAAACCCTAAACTGCCTCATCCAGCGCGGCCGGGACAGTACACTGGTACTCCTAAGTCTTGGGCCTCCCAGGTTACCAAACTCCATCATAACTAATGTCGTCTTAATATCGAGGAATTGGGCAAATCTTCAGGCTCTGTGGTTCCCTGGTTGCCAACTGCATCTCTGCTGTTTGACGAAGGAATGGATTCCCGACTCCTCGCTCATGAAAACGATGAGAAGTAGCAGAAATCATGTGATTCTGGGATTCGCTGCTGTCATCAAGTAAAGCACCCTGACTTGCACTACCTTACATCCCGTACCTTGAGCCCCAAACCCATGTGATGTCGTTGCAGGCATGCGAAGGATGACTCTCAAGACAATCAGGATATCTCAGTGAGCCCCCCTGCTGCTGCCCTGTGTCCTCAGCAAATGCGTTTGCGATCTCCTTGGAGGCCACTGTCTCGGCTTCTTGAGGAGTCAGATCCTCGTCTCAGCTTCGGTGGGACGAGGGTAATGTAGGGGCCTTAATAATTAGAATAGGGATTCTTGGGGGTTCCTTATCATAACTACAGTATAATCTACACCCAAACCCTATTCTACATATTAAGTCCCCTGAACCCTAAACCCTTACAGTAGACCTTATAGAACCCTTTAAAGGAACCCCCAAACCCTATTCTAATTATTAAGGCCCCTTTTTTTGCAGGATCGACTCGGAGCTCGAATGGTCCAAGCCGCTGCCAAACTTCTGTTGGATGCGGCACGAACTGAAATTTCGGGTTCCGGGAACCTTGAAGCCTAAAGAGCTCTTTATAAATCGTGTGCTATGAAGGCATTGAAGTTCCCTTCTACATAGGTCTCTAGGTAGACCCGAAGGCCTGATCAGCTTCTGCATCCGCAAGGCGGCACGAGTGAGATTTCGGCATTTCGGCCGTTTCTCAATCTGAAGGTCGGGAGGCTAGGTTAGGTTAGGTTAGGTTAGGTTAATTTGGTTAGGTTAGGTTAGGTTAGGTTAGGTTAGGTTAGGTTAGGTTAGGTTAGGTTAGGTTAGGTTAGGTTAGGGTCTCCCTTATTGCAAGTTACTGCGCCCTAAGCTAAGTTAGGTGTTCGAGGACTTCCGGGCAGGTGGGTGAAGTCGCTCTTACTTGAAATATCTTGCGCAGGATGCATAGTCCGTGGTTTGGGGCACCTGCTTGCACGCCATTTCATTCGACGAAGTCTCGGGGGCCGGTGTGACCGTGTAGGGGAGTGGTAAGCTGCACACCCTCCTCTCGAGGGTACACTTCTTTCTCTTTCCTTGGAGAACCACTCGAATCCTTACAAGAGTTGGACCAAGGCTCCTCCAGTCCGTCCCATTGCATAGTTGTTCCTGCCGCGCTGGTGACACGGATGCTCATCGGCACACCCTGGCAAAGCAACGTTCTACAAATCGACCGGCTTGGGATGCTAGCAGTTTCGCTGCGTCTTAGGGTCTTAGGTCGTACAGGCCCCTTTTGTGAGTGAGAGCCTGGTACGTCACGTCAGTTTCGACGTTGGCATGGAAGTGGCCACAGACCCACCTCGGGCAACAAAGCAGTTTGGATCTGGGGTTCGGGCTTCAGTTTCTACGGTTGCTGCACATTGCATGCTGTTCTTTGGTTCCTACATGTAACAGGCACCATGCCACACTAAGACAGGCAGAACTTCGACGGATCCGAGCCGCAGCATTGGTATCTTGGGCGCTGCCAGCAGGTCCAAGATTTGCTTGCGGTAGACCTGCTTCCAGTTCGCCCAGCCTTCCTTCTCATCAACGGAACTCATAAATGGAGGAATGTGCGTGAGAAGCACCAGTCGCTTGATGTTGGCTTGCATGTTGCTTACCTCAGCTTGGAGGAACTCCAGCTGCTTTGCACGGTAGTCATCGAGAACTTCGGCGGTACTCCAGTATACCTGGGAGTTCAACTGCAGGTAAAGAATCCCACCTTCCTGCTTCACCCGCTGGAACAAAGGCCCCCATCCGCTCTCACCACCAGAGCCCACATATCGGTCAAGAGTTTGGACATCCGGGTGGTCGCCAATGTCATGATTGCCCGGCGTATAGTACACTGGGATCCCCGCACCCTCAAGCGCTTCCAGGGAGCGCCGGACGGACACTCTCTGCTTCCGGCCTAAGTCCTTGGAGCAAAGCTCCTGAAAGTCTGCGTCCGACATGCCTCCTGGCCGATTCCGATTTTTCTGGGCACCCTCATTTGGCCACCAGTTCTGCATATCCCCACCGACGAAGACAAAGCTGGGCTTCAGGGGCACCGTTTTCGACACCAGTCCATGTAGCATGTTGCTCTCATCCGTCCAATCTTCAGGATCGATGTACCTTACCAGAGCAGGAGTGCATGCTGTTCACAATGATTATGAGGGAAGGAGAACACAATATACCCCTGCAAGAAGGAGGTTCACGAGTCGGCTGCAGACAGCTACTGCAGCCAAGTACAACCACGATGATGACTCGAAATGTCCAGTGCAGTGGAGGTAGGTATTTGTCATTGGCTTTGTTCCCACCGTCGTGGTTTTCATTGCAGTTGCTCAATCTGTTCTTCCACTGTTTCCTCCGTTTCATACATCCCCTCGTCGTCGTGGTGGTCATCGGCATCAGAAGCATACTCTTTAGCATCCACATCTCATCCTCATCCTCTTTCTCCTCTGCCTCCTCCTCCTGCTCCTCGGCCTCCTCCTTCTCTGCTACCCCGTTTTCCTCCTCCTCCTCCTCCTCCTGTTCCTCCTCATCCTCGTCATCACCATCGTCCTCAGTTCCTGGGCCTCCTCCTCCTCCTCCTCGTCCTCCTCCTCCGCCTCCGCCTCCGCCTCCGCCTCCGCCTCCGCCTTCGCCTCCTCCTCCTCCTCGTCCCTCCTCGTCCCCGTCCTTATCCTCATCCTGGTCCTCAGTTCTCCTCGTCGTCCTCATCCTCATTCTCATTCTCATCTTCATCCAGATCCACATCCTCCTCCTCCTCCTCGTCCTCACCTCGTCCTCGTCCTCGTCCTCGTTCTCATTATCTTCGTGGTCGTGGGCGGCACCCTCGTCGTCATCGTCAGCAGCAGTATCAACAACATCATCTTGCCCTTCATACTACATAAACACATTCGTCATTGCCATCAGGATCCCTTTAGTCTTTCTCTTCCTCCTCCCTTTCCTCCTTCCTCTGCAACCGTCGCCGTAAAGGAATAAGATGCATGGCGGCAAGAACATGACAACCAACAAAACGAAGTACCGGCATTGCCAATATCAGCCCCCTGCCCTCATCCTAACCACCTCTTCTCCTACCTTCTCCTGCTCTTGCCCCTGCTCCTCCACAGCCCAAGCATCAAAGTGAATGTCGGTGACAGTCAACATCGCTAGAAAACAGTCGTGATGAAAGGTAGTTCTCGACTGCTGCTGTCCAAAATCGCCTGCTTTGGTGGAAGCGGTCCTGTCTTAAGCGCGATGAAACACAGATCGTTGAGATCTCTACATTATTCACCCGGATGACCCAAACCCTCTCACTCCTCCCTACACTTCAATACACACTCTAAGAAATATGCCCTCAAGCCTTAAACCCAAATCCTTAACCCTGAATCCCCAAAAAACGTTCGACCCCCTTCAACAACAGCCAAAACCCAAGAAGTCAGACCGAGGTCCCGGAATAACTACCAATTTCGTCCCATCATAATCACTCATGGCTCGAACCATAGGACCCCCTATATTCGAAGCCATACACAAGACCTAAACCCTGACTCCTGAGCCCTACTTTCCTAAACCGTAAACCCTAATTCTTAAACCCTACACCCTAGTTTCTAAACCCTTATAGAAGCCTAAGTCCTCAACCCTTATGGCCCTGTATAGAAGCGTAATTCTAAAAGCCTAATTCCCTAAACCCCTATAGAAGCCCAAGTGCTGGTTCAGCATTCCCAGCTGTGGATCGGTGATGTGCACCATGAGGTGAGTTCGGCCCTTCAGTCTGGGCGTTAGAGCTTTAGGAGCTTTGGGTTTAGGGTTTAGGAGCTTTGGGTTTTAGGGTTTAGGGTTTAGGGTTTAGTACCTTCAGTCTGGGCATTAGAGCTTTAGGAGCTTTGGGTTTAGGGTGTAGGGTTGGGCTTCAGAGCTTTAGAGAAAACTTAGGGGTTTAATGTGAATAGGGCTTTGGGGTTATATGATGGTAGAGTCATGGGGGTCTAGGGGTTTAGGACTTAGGAATCAGGGTTTAGGTTAAGGACTACACACGCACCGGAGCTTTTCTGCAGGTTTTGCGGTTCGGAGGCTTTCGCATTGGATTCTTGGCGCGTCCAGGACAGGACTTTACTTTGGGAAGGGGGGCGGGTGGGGGATGGGGGGAGGGCTGATTTCGTTCTGGTGCCGCCCACTGTCTGAAAAGTGGGCTCTGAACCCATGCGTCCCAGCAAAAGTCAAGGCCGTGCAAATATGTCTCTGAGCATGACATTCAGGAGCTAGGTAGAGAAAACATCCGACACCCTAAGTTTCAAGGCTACATGCTTCCTTGAAGTCTTTTCACAAGTATTGCTGCACTGTCTTGAAATTTGCTGGCGGGTGTGGGTTAAGAGCCCATTCCCCATAATCCTGGCTTCTGACACCCCCTGCGGTAACTTATGAACGTGCGACCAATTAGGGTCTAGGAATAAGCGGGTTTAGGACGAGGTGCTAGGGCTGTAGTAGGGATTTGGAAGTTAAGGATGTAGGGCTTCTTCGGATTTTTTCGGATGTTTACAGTAGTCTAGAACCCTAAACCCTAAAGCCTGTAGGGTTTAGTGGCTTCTGGGTTTTCAGTTTCGAATATTCTGGAATTCGAGAGTGGACGCGAGAGAGTTGGAAGGTTCTTATCCTCGCAGTCTTGAAGTCAGGAAGGGGCATCCCAGCGCGAATTCGCGTCAATCCACCTTCGAACTTCCTGGAGTTTTCGATGATATAGGAGCCTTAATACCTCCTGAATATAAAAGGATATATATATATATAATATAATATACTACAGATTATATATATATATATGGGCAAGGGCCGCCTTTAGGGGGCCTTGGGGTAGGGTTTAGGGTTTGGGGGGCTCTGGGGTTTGAGACTTGAAGCTCCAACTCCCAAAGTCTTAAAGGGTTTAGGGTTTAGGGTTTAGGGTTTAGGGTTTAGGGTTTAAACCCCAGAGATCCCGAGCCCTGAACTGCCTAAGCCTCCTGAACTGTCATTAACACAACACTACCATGAGTATCACTATTGTTGATATTACTGCTATTACTATTGTTATTGTCATTAATATTGATTTTATTACTGTTATTGTTATTATTGCTCTTCTTGTTGCTACTTACTATTCTTATCAGCTGAGCTGCTCCTGAGTCTGGCGGCAGATCAAACCGGAGGGAGAAGGCCAGGCTACTCAAGGCGCCGAGAGAAAGAATCTGGTAGAAGGTGAGAGCCATTGGCAGGCGTCGTCCAAGAAGTAAATTCAGCCGCATCGCGAAGTCTTTGGCGTGCTCCGGGCGAAGAGATCAGCTTATTGGCACTCGAAAGGCAAACACCCTACGCCTTCCCTGAGGCAGATGTTCCTCAAGCACCTAACCTATCATCAGATCATCATCTAGGGCTCTAATCTACTGAAGTGGATTGCAGACGCTACACCCAATGCCCTATAAAGAGCCCTATCAGGCGTGTAAGTAATCCATGAGCCTAAATTAAATCCTGTTGCAGCGCTCCTTCAGGCGTCTTCACAGCGCTATGTCCCTTGAGCCGCGCTGCCTCTGTGGAATTCGGCTATCATGAGGGCTACGATAAGGGTTACTATAAGGGTGGCTACAAGGATTATTACAACCTGCAGCATGCAAACAGTCCTCATAGAGGAGCAAAGGCATAGGGTTCAGCGGCTTGTATAAACGACTCCAGTTCCAGAAGCAAGGTTTTGTGATAAGAGCAGCTTGCCAGAGAGCTCAATACCCCCTTACATTTAGAGGGTATACCTTCAAGCAGACTGCTAAGGCACCATACCCCAAACCCTAAACCCTAAACATACCTTTACGGCATATTCCTCGACTAAGGTGTCTTGGACGTGACCGAGTTGGCGAATCACTGAGTGCTAGATATGGACCTCAACCCTGAACATCCACTGTACGCAGGGCTCCAGGTTTGGAGCTTATATGGGGGTTTCCGAAAATAGGGGACCCTAATATAGTACCCCAAATAGTAGGATCCCTATTATAAGGACCCCAAAGTAAGGTACCCATAATTTTCGGAAACCCCCATATAATATCCACTACAGGTAGGGTTTTACCATCATGGTACCCAGTGCCTAATCTTCAAATCCACAAGCAATAAACGTGCCAAGCTCACCATGCGCTGCCGGGTCCGCAAGCCGCCATGTCGGCGAGGTAGAGTCGCAGTATTGGCTCAAGGGTTCTGGGGATGTTGTAGCAACATTCTTTCGGGACGATAAGGGGATATGGTCGCTTCTTACGCTTCTGGGGCCTAGGGTATAATTAGAGGTTTAAGGGGCCGGCTTATACAGTTTATCGGCTGCCATGGATAGACTGCTTCTCACGCTTAGACAAGTGAATGAGTCGGACCCGACAATCCCCTGGCACCAACACACACAGAGCTAAGCATCTCGAACCAAAGCATCCCAAGCACTGAATTGAACTCCCCATCTCTACAGCCAGAACCCTCATGTGCAGCTGCGGTTTCACGTAACACTACGCTGCCTGAACCCTAAGCTGGACAGGAAGCACTGAACTGAACCCCAAACCCTGACCCTGATTGGACATACCTTGTTCTGATGAACCCTAAGCCCTAAACCCTAAGCCCTAAACCCTAGTTCCCTTTAAAGACCCCAAAGATGGCTCCCCCAAGTCCGTCCCAAGCCACCCAGGCCTCCCCTCTTCAGGATCCTCCACGGCTGTCACCTCGAAATCCAAGAAGCGAAACCCCTACGTCTGAAAATCTGAAAATCTTCGGCAAGGTGTACAGCGGAGGCTGGAGGGAAGAGGGAACTCACCCCAGTCGACGTACCCATGCTACTATATCCAAGATGTCGGGCTTCGAGGCCAAGATTTGGGGGGTTTCGCGGAGGCTCCAAACTTCGACTGTGAGCTCGTAGGAGCCCTTCCTCCTTCATCATTCACACAACTAAGATCATCATCAGCAGAAGCAGCAGCAGCGTCATTATGACAATCATCGTGAACACCACCAAGAACATCCTCACACCATCATCCTGACTCATTTGTCTGTATCAAGAAACCATGATCTTGAATGCCATCACCATCACATTCATCACCGTTGCGTTAATCATATCCATCATCATCCATCATCA